GATAAATTCAAATTATAAATCTAAATAAACAAATCCATGCTTGTTCACAAACTCTGCGTCCAGACTTCCAACGCTGTCCAAACCTGCCTCGATTTTCAAAGCTGGCTTTCAGAGGTGATTGCCAAATCAGTAGAAATGGACACCGAGTCCTTCTCCTAAAGATCAATATATCCTGGGATGGGGATAGAAAAGAGCAAGAGTCCAGTAGCACCTTAAAGACTAACAGAATTTGTGGCAGGGGGTGAGCTTTCATGAGTCACATGAAGAAGTGAGCAGTGACTAACACGGCTACCCCTCTTGATCTTGGGAGGGGGGTGTTGATGGTGGTTGTTTTGAGTCTCAGTGCCACAGAGAAGACCACCAATTTAAGCCATCATCCTATAACCATGCTGGAGCCTGTGCCAATATAACGTCACCATGATCTTATACCCTCCCAAGAGCAGACTCTGGGCGATTTCTCACTAGAGCTGCCTCGCAGCGCAGCACCGTTTGCCCCGACACAAACATGTCAGTTTCACACCCGAGGCTGCGGGGCTGCATTTGACTCGGGACTTCGCCCGATTTCCTCCACAGTTTCATGATCCTCAAAAACCAGGATCACGAAACTGCGGAGGAAATAGGGCGAAGCCCCAAGTCAAAATGCAGCCCCGGAGTTTCGGGTGAGAAATCGCCCTGTCTCTTCCACTCAGTTCTTCTTGAAATGTCCCCTCTGGCCTTTATCGCTGCCTCTGGGGTGCCTGAACTTTTGTCTGTCTCTTTAAAAACATATTTAACACACAAACCCCATATAGATTAGAGATAAAAATGTGACAATAGTGGTGGCAGGTCTATGCATATGCTTCTCTAAAAGGTTCCCAAATATCTAAAAATAAGCCCATTCACATTTGCCATCTATGTGCCATACATTCAAATGCTGATGAGGTTGTAAAGTCCTACATCAATTGTATTATGGGAGGCAGGTGTTTATCTCTCCACTGTAGTAATATGGTTTTTTTTAAGCTACATTAAGGGCATGGAGGGTCCATTTTCATTGACCAATGGTTGACCTCCTGGAGACAGGGAAATGCCGGTCTCTTTAGTTTCTTCCTTAACATCAGGTACTCTGTGTTACCTGCTGCAGAAGCACCTGCTTCAAAAGAGCACAGAGGAATACTACAACAAACACCTGAGCTTTCAGCCCTGGAGAGAACCCTCAAAGTAAAATTCTAAGTTGTAAAGTCCTACATCCATTGTATTATGGGAGGCGGGTGTTTATCTCTCCACTGTAGTAATAAGCTACATTAAGGGCATGGAGGGTCCATTTTCATTGACCCGTGGTTGACCTCCTGGAGACAGGGAAATGCCTGTCTCTTTAGTTTCTTCCCTAACATCAGGTAATCTGTGCTACCTGCTGCAGAAGCACCTGCTTCAAAAGAGCACAGAGGAATACTACAACAAACACCTGAGCTTTCAGCCCTGGAGAGAACCCTCAAAGTAAAATTCTAATGAGCAAAGCTGTTGGCAATGACAATGACCAGAGGAGAAAAGGAGCACAAGCCAAAAGCTTATAACCAGCCAGGGACAGAAAGCGCTCAGGGTTTAGATGGTTATTAAAATGTGGAATTTACTGCCAGAGGATGTAGTGATGGCCACAAGAATAGACAGCTTTACAAAGGGATTAGATATTTTCTTGGAGGACAGGTTTATCAGTGGTGATACTAGCCATGGTGACTGAGGGGAACCTCTACATTTGGAGGCAGTCAACTTCTGACTCTCAGTGCTAGGAGGCAACATCAGAGGATGGCCTCGGCCTCTGTGCCCTGTTTTAGTACCTCCAGAGGAACTGATTGGCCGCTGTTTGGGTCCGGATGCTGAACTAGATGGACCACTGGTCTGATCTGCCAGGGCTCTTCTTATGTTCTTAATTAGTAGCAATGACGTATCCATCTTTCACTGTATAAAATGTCCAGGAAGAAAACGAATTCTTCGGGAAATGAAAACGAATTCTTGAAAAGGCACAGTTCATTACTCACGAAAATTCATTTGTCATAGTCCAATAAATACACAGAGAGGAAGAATGTTATGTAAGCAGGAAATGTGGCTGAGAGAGGGAGAAGAAAACCCATTCTCGAAAAAGACTGCTGTGATTTTTCTCCTACCAGGACCGGAACACAACAGTACAAGCCCATGACCGTACAGTGCATTTCAGTGTGGATGTTCGAAAGTGACTTTGCAATGAATGATCGGTTATAAAGTGTGGGTGTGAAATTAATTTCAGTCGGGAGCCCAGGGAATCGGGTCTCTCAGTTTTGGCATAGGAGGAAATTGTATTGCTTTGTGTGCTGCATGTGAAATCTGTTTCTAGCTGAGCAGAACCCTGTTGAGGACACTGGCTCGGTAGAAAGGAGGAGGGAGAGTCTTTCTGAATGTCAAAGACTTGCTTGATTGCTTTCTTTGAAAGCTGCTGGGAACAGACAACATCCAGGAGTTGGGCTGAAGAACGAGTTGCATGAATAAATTCCCCAGGGTTATAGTTTGGCTCCTCTTGGAGCTTGGACAGCATCTTCTAGAGACATCTGTGCTGAAAAAGCAATGATATGCGTGCAGAAACGACATGATGAAAATCCAGACAGCTAATAGCTAATAAAATTAACCTGTTTCCAAAAAAACCCCAAAAGATTTAAGAAATCTTTGGACTTGGCTAGTCTCTGTGTGCTTTCCACAGGCGCACTAGGGTCCCTGCCACACGGCAGGAAAAAAAACGGGCAAAGTGCGGCTTTTAAAAGTTGCACCAAAATAGAGACGCCGTGGTGGGATCCCACGGATCCCCTGAGCCGCGGCGCTGTTACTCCCCGGCACGATCAGATGCCGGGGAGGAAGCGACAGTCGGGAGGGGGAGGCTGCCGAACTGCGCATGTCTGAGCCTGCGCAGTTCGGCCAGGACCCGGGGATGCGCTGGCGGAAGAACGCGCCGGTGATCCCACGGCCAGCTTTGATGCGGCCGTTCGGAAAGAACCACCTTGGTAGGTGGTTCTTTTTTGCTGCGGATTATTGTGGGAAGGGCCGGATTGGGCCCAGCCCAAAACCTCTCGTGTGACCAGGGCCAAAGTAAGGGAAAGAAAGGGGGATGAGAGAGAATAACTCAGCAAGTAATTTAACTGATCGGACATCTTTCTTTTAGAACAAGTTGTCTTGTATTCCTGTCAATGAATATTGTGGTGATTGGCGTTTCTCTATATAATATCTCCACTGTGCGCTTTTGACGCTTGCTGGGAGAGGCTTTCTTGTTTGAGCGCGGAGTGGGGTCCTTTTTCCACTCTCCCTTCTGCTCTGGTGCTATGCCTAGAGTGGGGAAAAAATAATGTGTAGCACCAGGATGCAGCCATACCAGGCGGCCACCTTGTGGTTGCTTTAGAATGGAGGGTCTCCTTTGCCTCCGTGGTAGGAGGAGGAGACTGGTTGGGCAACTTTCCGCCCATACAGGTACTGGGGGGGGGACCCTTGGTTTAGTTTGCTCTGCCTGCCCCTCTATCGGGCAGTCTTCTCATTTCTACCAGCCCACCTGCCCTCCCTTCTATAGTGTGGGTTTTTACTGGTCGCCAATTTTGGGGCCAGGTAGGGATTTTTTTTTGCCCTCTCTAAGATTGGCCTGGAGAGGGCGTATTTTTTGCCTACCACACACCGTACACTGTGGCTAGGTAATTGGCTAGGGATGGTGCCATTAATTAGATTTCCCTGGCAGGAATCTGGCTGATTTGGTTAGGGTGATGAGCAGGGGTCGTTTCGTAGAAAAAGAGCTAGGGGGACTCATTAGCATAACTCATTAGCATATGCCACAACCCCTGACATCACCGGACGTGTGTCATAAGGCCACACCCCCTGACATCACCGGAAGTGTGTCATAAGGCCACACACCCCGCCCCCAATGGTCCCGGCCGGCGGGAGTGCAAGGAAGCCCCATGAAGGCCCTCCCTGGCCCCAGGCAGGCAGGGGTGGGGAGAGGCAGGGAGGAAGCAACTTACCTTCCCTCTTCTCCTGCCTCCTCCTGGCTGAATGAGGGCCGGAAACGGGGCGGCCGGAAGCAGGGGGCGGGGCTTTGTCATGTGCCCCGCCCCCGTACCTCACCCGGGGGAACTGCGATCCCCCGCGATTCCCCCCGAAATGACCTCTGGTGATGAGCACTAGTAGGCAGACGCCCCCCTTGATTGGAGGGTGGGCACGTTTGGCAAGAACCACCTGTGGGCAGGAGTCTTGGAGGGGAATGCAAACAGCCTGCAATGCTCCTTGGATTCGGCCCCCCCTCAAGTTCTGTGGCTTGAGGTGGCTGGCTTCCTTTGGGGGGTTGGGGGAACTGCGATCCCTCGCGATCCCCCCCGAAATGACCTCTGGTGATGAGCACCAGTAGGCAGACGCCCCCCTTGATTGGAGGGTGGGCACGTTTGGCAAGAACCATCTGTGGGCAGGAGTCTTGGAGGGGAATGCAAACAGCCTGCAATGCTCCTTGGATTTGGCCTCCCCTCAAGTTCTGTGGCTTGAGGTGGCTGGCTTCCTTTGGGGGGTTATTTCCATGTCTTGCTGCTTGGCAACGACCATGCTATCACTGGCATCGTGGGCGCAGTGGCTCGCCCATTTCTGGCCAGGAAAGGGACCGAGGTGTATCCCTTTGCCCTGGCTTATGTTTTTAGTTGGCCCTTGCCGAGTTACACTTCATCGTTTAAAGTTAAATTGAATAAAGATGCCCTTTATTTATACCAACACATCTGTGTGAATCCCTTTATTCCTACTGTGGGGGCAAATGCAGACACTGGTGGGTGTTGAGGCAGCACATCTGCAAGATTTTCTTGTTTTTTTCTTGAAGACTGATAATGGGGGTTACATTGCTTAGTGGAGTGGTAGGATACATGGCATTTACGTTCCATATGAATCAGTTCCTTACACCCCCATTCCTTTAAACGCAGTCAAGATTCCTGCGGCAATTTCCTTAACACTCTTATCCACTTTGCTCTTGTCTTCCTTTGCAGGTGTCCAACCTCTATCTCTATGACAGTGTGCTCATGTTGGCCAACGCCTTCCACAGAAAGCTAGAAGACAGGAAATGGCACAGCATGGCAAGCTTGAACTGCATGAGAAAATCCACCAAGCCTTGGAACGGAGGCCGATCCATGCTGGAGACCATTAAGAAGGTAAGAGTAAGCCGACGGAAGGCCAGTATTGGTCTTTTATTCACTTAGCAGACAGACTCCTGGAGTTCTGTTTTGAGGGGCAACTAGATCAAGGGAAATGCCTAAAGACCACCCAGAGCAAGCAAGAAAACAACAAAGTCAGTTTCTCAGTGTAGCGAATTAGCTTTGGGCAGGAGCCTCTGACCAGCCCGCTCACAGCCCCTTCCTGCTGCTGGCTCAAAGAAACCAGGAGAACTCACAGCCTCAGGTGTGCCTTTGTTCCAACACAGGGCAAGGCTAAGATGGAGTGATTCTTGGCACAAAAATCAAATAGTGGGTGAACCTCAACACAAAAGGGTGCTCTAGAGTTGGTTCTCCCCCTCCACAACACTTCACATCACCAACATTGCTGAACACTTTCTTTCCTTCTCCATACATTTCCCACTGATACTTCCTGTAATGATTCCATGTTTTGGTGTGTGTTCCTTTAAATGTTAGTTTGACTGCAGGAATGCAAGGAGGGCGAAGTGGGAGATGTGTGTTCTGTGATTGGCAGATGACTGAGAGTGTGGGAGGAGTTGTTCTGAGAGGAATCTCTGTGTGTGTGTTTTATGACAGTGTTCTGTGTGTGTGTCTTTGGAAAGTTAAGTGTAAAAAGCTCTAAAGAAAGTTTGTGGAACTCTAAAAGAGAGACTATATGAAAAAGAAACAAGCTGTGTCTAAACTGTGTGATTAGACGAATGATTTATCTTGTGTGGAAAAGTCAAAGAGTTTAGCCGGTTTGGCTACATATATGAGAGAGAGAGAGAGAGAGAGAGAGAGAGAAGCCTGTGAAGAGTGGAATTTTGGTGTCTGAGAGACGAAGTTTGACACCAAGCTTGCTAGTTATATCTTACAAGTTCCTTTTTTCAGAAACCTATTTTGTTCTTATTTCAATAAATCCCTTTTTGTAATTCTATTTCTACTATCTCTAGAATTAGTTGTTTTATACTTTTCCAAAATTTTACCAAAATTTGTTTTAAGAGGAATCAGTGTGTTTTGTGACAGAGAGTTCTGTGTATGGGTCTTTGGAAAATGAAGTGTGGAAGAGCTATGAAGAGAGTCTGTGTGACTCTAAACGTTTTGAGAGAGAGTCTATATGGCAAAAAACAAGTAGTGTCTAAACTGAGACAAATGTTTTATCTTGTGTGCCTAAGACAAAGAGCTTAGCCAGGGTGGCTACATATAGGAGAGAGAGAAGCCTGTCGGAATGGAATTTTGGTGTCTGAGAGACTCTGGGTGCATTCAGACGGGGCATTTACAACGGTATAGGTGCCAGTTGGAATCGGTGTACTTACTGGTGTTCACACGGCAAACATCTGCCTTCCGTCCCTAACCATTGCAAAGAGCTTTACACCGTTGTATTCTGCCACTAGGTCCCCAAGTGGTGGTATTCTGAGTGCAACGGTTGCAATCGCTTTACCCCCATCTGATCGCTTTCCAACGTTGTAGAGCCACTTCCGTTCGGAAGCCCGAAGCTTCCAATTTTCGCCCGCCATTTTGTTTTTGTTAGGTTGGCGATATGCGCTTGGGCGAAGCTTCGCCCCGGCATTTGTTTTTTAAAAAAGAAGAGGTCCTTAGTTTAAGGTTTTGGAGGACTCCGAGACCTCAGGGAGGCCAGTTTGGTCTTTAAACTTTAAAGGTAAGTCCTTACCTTTAAACTTTAAATGTAAGACGGGGTGTTTTGTGCATGCGTGAAGATCACCATTCTGTGGATGGCTGCCTATGCGCATGCTCAAACTGAGTTAAAAAACAACAACCGCTGACGCCCGCTGCATGTGAACGGGCATACAGCGATGGGCTCCGCAGACAGGAGGTAAGTGTGATCGCGTTTCAGCCAGCATAAACTGCAACGGTTCCAACTGGTACAGTTTATGCCGGCGGAAACGCCCTGTCTGAACGCACCCTGTGTGTAACACCTTGCCAGTTATATTTACAAGTTCCTTTTTCCTGAAACAGTTCAAGATAACCAGAAACCTATTTTGTTCTTTATTCAATAAATCAATTTTTGTTTAAATATTTTTCCAGAAATCAGTACAGTCCTTCCTAAGGCCACATAGTCCTCTGAAGTGCCCAGACCCTGGGTCATACTACCAAAAGAGAGAGAATTGGATTTTTTAATTCCTGGTGGCAGCAGGAAACTACCAAGTTTATATACACAGAGGGTGGTTTAAAGGAAAAACAGTCTCCCCCATAAGCAAGTACGCCAGGTGGTTTAAAAGGAAAAACAGTCTCCCCCATAAGCAAGTACGCCACACTTCCCCTTTCCTTGGGAGTCCCCCCATTCCCATCACAACACACCACTTCTCTTTCCTCCCTCTTGGAGGATGTGACTAATATATCCCCTGCCTGGCAGAGACTATTATTTATTTGTTTAATTCAGTTATACCCCACCTTTCTCCCCAGTGGGGACCCAAAGCAACTGACATCCTCCTCCTCTCCTCCATTTTATCAACACAACAACAGCCTTGTGAGGTAGGTTTGGGCTCTTTTTGTAGAAAAATCCCAGCAGACACTCATTAGCATATTAGCCACACCCCACAGCACAGTTCATTAGCATATTAGGCCACACCCCATGTCTTCCCTTGACTTGCCCAGGTGCCCCAAGGCTGTGGGATGCCTGGCAAGCCAGCTCTTAAATGCTTCCCCGATCCTTAGGCCCTCCCGGCCCGCCCGCTTCAGTGTCACTGGGAGGGGGTCACTTTCCAGGCCTTCCCTCTGTAGCCACGCGCACAGAGGTTTTAGCTGTAGTGGGCGTGGCCAACTCTGAAGCCAGCCGGAACTCCGTTTCGGTGTGTTCCTGCCCAAAAATAGCCCTGGGTTTGACTGAGAGTGTGTGATTGGCCAAAGTCACCCGGCAAGCTTTCGAGAGCACTTGCTGGATGAACTCATATTTACACATATTTTGCAAGACATTTTGAGGTTTATTAGCTGTTGTATATTTTCTGGGTTGTGTGGCCGTGGTCTTGGCATTGTAGGACCTGATGTTTTGCCAGTAGCTGTGACTGGTATGCTCATAGGTATAACACAGAAAGGTGGAGTACTCTCTGTGTCAAGGTGAGAAGAAAAATGGTAGGCAGGTAATTTATATCTACTCAGGAAGGTGGGGTAGGGCTGAGTCATTATCTTGTAGGACATCCCCAGGCTATGAACATGCTAATAGAGGAGTTTTCCTGAGGAGGTTCTTTTGTATATGGATGGATTGTTTCCTGAGGAGGTTCTTTTGTATGTGGATTGGCTGTTGAAATTCTAATCTTATCTGTAGTGCTATTGTCAGATGTAGAGCCTTTTGTGTTTTTCAGGACAGGAAACCATGTCCTATTTATTTTGAGGTTTCTTTTCGGGTCCTAATATTGTGCACCCCATTCCTTTAGGGTCATATTACGGGACTCACCGGTGTCATGGAGTTCAGAGAAGATGGTGCCAACCCCTACGTCCAATTTGAAATTCTTGGAACCAGCTACAGCGAAACATTTGGCAAGGATGTGCGAAGGGTAGGAAAAGTTTTATTTATCTTTTCCCCTTCTCCACTACACTAGAATCGTATTGTGCTTATCCAGGGGGAAAAATGCTATTGTTTTAAAATGAATGGTAGAAGTACTTTTGTTCGCAGCACTGACGCTATGGTAATAACATTTTCTAATTTCTCATACGCTTAAAATGCGAAAGATAACAATTTTAGACTGTCAGGAGGGAGTCCGGCAAATTGTTCTCGAATGTGCCATATCCTTTAATCTGCTCCAATACTGATGCTGTGAGCATAATACTGGGGATGCTACAACTCTTCTTGGAGGTCATTTCAGGTGAATTATGGTACGGCTGGCGTAACTGGGGCTTGTCTTAATCGGGCAACTAAGTGGGTTGTGAAATTCCTCGTCTCTGCAAAATCTTCCAAAGGAAACCAGAAAAGGACGAGAAATAATGTTATATTTAAAGAAAGATGTGATGATGTAGCAAGGCAGAGAAGACATGGACCGATGCCATTTTGCACTTCAGCCGTGGGAAACGTTAGGCCAGTGGCTACTCCTCAGAGAAGGGGCATTGGGAGTCCATGCCAATAATTTTTTTTCTGACACCCCCCGCCATCCACGCACACAACCAAATACACACCTTGCTTCTCTATCCTCTAGAGGACTGTAGATCTTTATTTGCAAGGAAGACATTGGTCAAGAAGAAACAGGAGTCTTGTACACAGGTTTTTCTTTCTTTCTTTCAGCGTGAACATTCATGAACTCTTCACTTCTTCAGATGCTGTCAGCGAATCCGTTCCATGGAGAATCAGGATTCACTCATCGCATGTGAAGAAGTGGACCGTAGTCCATGAACACTTAACGTTGGAACAAAAGCACATTGGCCTGTCTTTTCAATCAATTTGTGCCTTACTGCAATCACCATGTCATCAGCATAAGCAAACTTCCTGGATATTGTCTTGGGACCATCAGAGATGTAAAGATTTTAAAGAACTGGAGCGAGGACTGAGCCCTGGGGTAGACTGTGATTCAGTTTCTTCTGCTTGCTGATTGACTGACTCATAGTTACTTGGAAAGCTCTATCACTCAGCATGTTATTTAAGAGTCAGAATAAAGTTCTGCAGGGGAGAACTTGTAAAAACTTGTACAGCAGACCACCCCTCCAGACTAGAGATGTGAAGGCCTGGAAAAAAACGGGAAAAATTCGGGAAAAAAATAGGTTTTTTCCAGTTTTTTCCTGAAGCCTTTTTGTTTTTTTCCGAAAAATTGGAAAAATTGGGGGGGGGAAATTGATTAGGGAACATTTTATTTTAACATGATTAATAAAATATTTTAAGACAAGGTGTTCAAATATTTTCCAAATCATTTCTAATATATATATATATATATGGTATCAGATTGATCTAATTTCTGTGCACTGAGGACAAGCAAGTTCTAGGTTACAAACTGAACCCTCCAATGCAAGAACAAGATGCATTTCTTCCTTTAGGAGGTGCGATTGTCAGAAGAAAATAAAAAAGTTTCCGTTTTGTGTTTGCATGTGGGTGGGTATTCTGTTTGTAATAATTGTTTGGATACACTATATTTTTAATATGCTAGTTGTGATAATTTCATGCCAAGTAAAAATGTCCATAGTCATATTTTATGTTCCTAAAGTAACAGAATGACTTTCAATCTAGAAAAGACAAAAGAAATGCTAATGTAGCATTTTTTTCAATTTTCCCAAAAATATCTGTTTTCCCCAGAAAAAACCTGGAAAAAACCCAGGTTTTTTTCCGAGCTTCAAAATTTCTGGAAATTTTACATTTCTACTCCAGACTGTGTCATAAGTGGCATTTGGATCGACAAAAACTGCTGACGTCTTAAGACACTTCTGATACCCTGCCTCAATGAAAGTTTTTAAGCTGGGAACCTGGTCTTCACAACTATGATGGGGTTTAAATCCTTCTTGCTCTATAGGACATGTTCATACTGTCACTGATTCTGTTCAGGTTTAGCCGCTCGAGGAGTTTATAACAGGAGCTCAGAAGGGAAATAGGTTTGTAACATTCTGCCAGATGTTTTGGTTTCCCAGATTTCAGAATAGCAACTATCTGCTTTCTTGAATTCCCCTGGGAGTCTTCCTGTTCTCATGATGTCAATGGGAAACTTTGCAAGCCAGTGAATGTGCCACTATTGATCAGGAACTCATTATGGATGCAGTCAAAGCCTGATGCCTTTCCACTCTTGATGTCCTTCAGTGCCTTGGAAATCTTATCAGCTTGCCGTGTTCAGAGCAGGTGCTTCTTAAAATCTGGAGGTTCTTTCTTTTAATCCTGAGAGTAAAATCTCAATCCATTGGAGCTCTGGATGGAGATACCAGTTGGGCAGCTACCTGGTTTGATGTTACCTCCAGATTTCCTTGGAGCACATGTGGGCTTGCACCTAGGGTTTTGGGGTTTTTAGCAACCTCCAGGTGTTCCTACTGTGATGCCTGAAATCCAAATCCAGGCTGCGGTCACACGGAGCATTAGGCACGCTAGAGGGATGAAAGATAGGTGAATTTTCCGGGCGCGATCTCACCGCCACATCTGGGAAGCGTCGAGCTCCCGTGGTGAACCCAAGGCTTCCCGCGGAAGATGCGCTGTAAAAAACTAGTACCTCGGAGGTACTAGTTTCCTGAAACCACGGGGCAAGGGCGGGCGTCTGATCGCGTTTCCGGTGGTAGTTCCGGCGCCCGCCCATGTCCCCTTGGACAAAGGGTTTTTTTTTCAAAGTCTCCACGGATGCGCACAAGCACCCAAGGGAGCATACGCGCATTTGAGTTTTTTTAAAAAAACCAACCCCGTTTGCCCTGCGCCCCACTTCTTTGCCGCGTGGCAGGACTGTGGAGTGATCGGCACAGCGCCACCCCCCCCGTACCCCGGGACCTCCATCGGTAGGTCTGCTTGAGCAACCGCGTGGTTTTTAGCCCCGGGGCTAACAGCCATGTCCCCCCCCCCCGCATTTTCCTGCCCGTGTGACTGGGACCCCACAGTTGTTTTGGTCCATTTTTTTTCTGTGTGCAATGTCGAGTTCATGGAATAGTTTACTTGGTCCTTGCCATCAAGGAAATTTTGATATAGTCTCTCGCTCTGATCGCTCCAGCCTGGAATATATTCTTTCCGATATCCTCGAGGAATGTGTCTTTTGGCCATAGATATAACAGCTCCAATGAATCATGGGGCTCGGCAGTGGAGCTGCAAGGCCGGCAGTGGTGGCCGGGACAGTTGGGGGCGGGATGTGTGGCCTTATGACACACTTCCGGTGTTGTTAGGGGGTGTGACCTTATGACACACTTCCAGTGATGTCAGGGGGTGTGGCATATGCTAATGAGTTATGCTAATGAGTCCCCCTAGCTCTTTTTCTACGAAACGACCCCTGGTTTCAGAGGGTAGCCCTGCTAGTCTGTAGTAGCAGAGCTAGTCAAAGGGAGCTTTGACTCTCAAAAGCTTAATACTTTTGAAAATCTTAACACTCTTGAAATTCTTGTTGGTCTCTGCTACTGGACTTGAATCTAGCTTATGCAAAGGAGGCGATGGAATCAGTGATAGCATGTTGGGTATAAAAGTTCAGGGCTCTTTATGTAGCAGGAACTCCTTTGCATATTAGGCGACACACCCCTAATGTAGCCAATCCTCCAAGAACTTACAGAGCTCTTCTTACAGGGGCTACTGTAAGCTCTTGGGGGACTGGCTACATTAGGGGTGTGTCACCTAATATGCAAAGGAGTTCCTGTTACAAAAAGGGCCCTGGCATAACCCTAACCCTGTTTCATGTGGAAGAAAGTCACTGGATTGAGTTGAATTACTCTAATAACTGGGGCTATTACTGTTTCTTTATTGGCCTGTGCCTGTATCACATGATAAACAGAAGTTACACAGAGGAGGGGGCTTTTCATATCGCCTTACCTGCTCTGTTTCTCCACATTAGGCTTATGTTGCAGGCCCAGCAAAACTGAGAGGAAGAATGCGGAAAAAAATACTAGACCTCCTGGCTTAAGCTATTGCATATTATTGTGTAATTCAGACCTCAAATCCTCTCATCCATCTCCCAAGGCTCCCAAGATGCAACACGTGGTTCTCCCTGCCTATGCTTTACCCATCATAATAATCCTTAGAGATTGGTTAGGTGGAATCAAAACAACTGGCTCAAGGTCACCCAGTGAGGTCCGTGGCTGAGTTAGTATTTAAACCTGGGACTCCCAGGTTTGGGTTCAATGCTGCATTAATGGTTAATGATGGGATTAATAGAATTGTGTCGATGTTTATCTATGGCTGTGATCAGACAGGCTATTTGGCCCAATTTCATTGCTTCTCCCTTATGGATTAAAAATGATCGTTCAGGCAGTGTCATCTGTCTCCTACTCTGCAGTTATTGGTTGCACATACATACAGGCTGCGGTCACACGGAGCATTAGCCACGCTACAGAGACGGAAGATAGGTGGATTTTCCGGGCGTGATCACACCGCAACATCTGGGAGGCGTAGAGCTCCCGAGGCGAACCC